TTCTCATTCACAGCGCTGCTATGACCTGGAGCAGGTATATTGTTGGGCCGCTAACGAGATGACTGTAATTGATTTTTGGGGAATAGAGTCATTAACCTCAAATGTCAGCACCTCCTCCTCAAGAGCTGAGATATTGATCCGCTGATGCAGGTTTAATAGAGGCTGATGTTTAAACAGAGATATAAACATGACTTTGACTCGCCAATGAATAGATCAGCTGCTTGTATTGCATCCCAGAACTTTAGTGAGAAAAAATGACATTGAAATCAGGGATGAAAACCCTCACACGGTCTAAAACTTCTCTCGCTTTTCTTTTTTCTTTTTTTTAATGGAAGTTATAAAGTCTTTTTGGAGCATTTACTTGCTCATTCTTGATGGTTATTAAAGGAATATTTAGAGTTCAATACTCAATTGACAGCATTTGTGGGAATTTTTTTTTTTTTAGGGAAATCAAGGCGACAGTGAGGCACTTAAAATGGAAGGGAATCGAGCCAGTTTTAAAAGGTGAATCTTAATTTAACAAAAGTATTTCAATTGAGTTTTCTGTTCAAACTTGTATATTATTTTAGCTTATACAGTTTTTGTCAGTTTTATGGTTTTAGACATTTTGTTGCATGTTATATGCTATCCTCAGTGTAATTTAAGTATCATTGGTATTACTGTTTTTCTTAATATTTTGATTAGATTTTATATCTTCTGTTTTCATTTTAATTTAAGTAAACGTTTTGTATGTTCCATTGTCTCAGTGGCGTTTGCTCTTGATGATGGCTGGAAGGAGCCCGGGGCGACCCGGAGGTGCAGACTACAATCAAAGGTCCTCTGACACCGCTGAGAATCATCACAGCTTGATGATAACCTGACTACCTTCAGGTAATCCCATGGAAGAGATAGCGGCGTAAAACTTTCTCGCCATAGAGATCGAGTCGAAGCCGTCCAGGTGGGTTAAATACGATAACCTTCTGATTGATGGGCACATTTGAGGATTGGAGGGGGACTTTATGACTTCAGCGGCGTCGTGTGGGGGTATTTTAAGAGAGAAGGTGAATGAATTAGCATCTGTGTGTTTGCTATGCTGTTCTCTGCCGTGAATAAACAGCATTAAGTCATGTTTACAATAAATAAATCCCATCAGTGCCACTAATCCCAAAAGATGATGCCAAAAGCAGTAAGAACCAGATCCATACTGAAAGATCAACAGAAAGTTTATATACTGTAAATATTTTGACGCAGATACCAACAATAGTGTAGTATGAGAGTAAACTTCACAATTAAAGAAAAGGAATTAAAAAAAAAAAATAGTTCTTAGAAATTTACTTTTGCTTAAAAATGTAAATGGAAAATTTTAAATTTAATAATTATTTTATAGTTTCTGTTAATATTTTGATTATCAGTTTTAATTCTTATATTCTCTATTGTCATTTTATTTTTTAAAAAATAGTATTTTTTTATTTTATTTTATTTTATTTCTTTCTTTATTTTTATTTTTAATTATTTTAGTACATCAAGTTAAACTGAATTAAAATGAGAACTGTTGCCTTGGCAGCTGGCTGAAATAAAATATATTTATTTATTTATTTATAGTTTTAGTTAACTATAATAACCCTGATTTATTGACTAAAATGTCATGAGGTGTAACCATCAAGTAAAAAGTAATAACATATTTCATTGCATATTGAATTTATTTAAACATACCTATCTTTATCATTATTTTCAAAAATGTTTAAATGTATTTTTCAAAATAAAACATTTTATTTATGTGTATATTTTGGTAAATTTATGAATGAAATAAACATACATGAATATAAATAAATTTATAAATATAATTATGCTTTTTAGGAGTCGCACCACATGACATTTTTAGACATACTAACCTTACCTTGTTATAAAAGGTCAAATTATTTGATATTTTAAGTCTTTTGATGATGTCATGATATCTATGATATAATTTCCTGTTTGTTTCATGTTGATTGGGCCTAAAAAATACAAAATAAAAATAAAAATGAATTTCAAAAAAGATTATGACAAATACTTTTTACTAGTATTACTTTTTACAAATACTAGTTTTTTACTTTTTACAAATACTAGTTTTCTTTTCAATTTTATCCTTTTAATTAGGCATTTTCTTCAAAGTCAAAGCGTCAATCAAAATCAGCACAACAAATAGAAAAAAAAGTCAAGATTTTGTCTGAGCCTAGTAAGAAACAGCTAGTCAAAGGTTCCTTAAATTTTTTTTGCCACTCTGGACATAGCCAAAGACCTAGTGTCGATCGGGAAATAGAAGAGGAAATAGAAAACTATTGACAGGTTTCCTACAGTTGTGTTAACACTTGGGAACTGTATGCAATATTTATGGTGGTTTGTTTTGGGGCCTCCAATGATGGCTTTGGTTACGATGGCAGGTACTGTTGGGGGGTTGGATGGACCCTGCTGAGGGCAAGCATTGTAAATGTATAACATCTTGGAATGCACAGACCATATCTC